GAAAATGGTTGGATGAAATAGATGAAAGATCTTGGGATGACTTCATCTGCGAATACAAACGTATAGGGCAGCTCAAAAACCCAAAAAGGTTTAGTGCCCTTTCCCGATATACATACCGAGGAAACGAATTGTTTTGAAAATTCACATGCATTACACGCAGGAGACTGCGGGACTTACAGGTGGCTCTGTACTTTTGGTTGGGTGCATGTTCAATAATGTGTGGAAAAATTACGCAAAAGTTGAAGCAAATTTGCTTTTATCTTGTTTGGGTTTCTCAAGGGATTTAGGGTCTCTTTTTTGGATTGGGGTTCATCGATGTTTTTGAGTAACATTCGGGCTCCCCAGTGTCAGAACTTTGGACACAGAAAAATGGGGGAAGCGAAAGTGACTGTGTGACAGGGACTAAAGTGTGAGGTTGTGGTCATCACGTGGTCACACTGATTGGTTCTTTGTCTTGTCTACTTAACCTTTGGTCGTGGACCATCACTCTTTTCTCTGTATAACTGTATATCATTATTGTAATCAACATTTCTACTACTACTGCTACTATAGTAGTTATCATGTTCCGTGGAGCGTCACTTTCTGTATGGTTACATGAAATGAATTGAGTATATAGTTCCAATCAAATGACAGTGATATAAAAATTCAGACACCCCAGAAAACTGGACTTGTTCAAGGCGGTTAGTAACATGCGTGGCTGAGGAGACTTTATTTTGCCCATTCTTTCATACGACTAAATTTGGTTGATGACCATCTAATATGATTGTTTTGTGTTTGGCAAGCTGTAAAGTGAATACATAGAACTGAGATTTACTATTGGAGACTGAAAAGAAAAGAAAGAGCGAAACATAATGTTTAGTTATATTGCTATCTTTTGTTCTTTTGTTAGAAAGGGCAAGTTTAAAATTTGTCCAGAAACAAAAAGAAGGGAAAGATAAGAAAGAAGATAAAAGAAACATGAAGGAACACGTTGATGTTACGAAAAGCATCACGATACAACTTTTCTTTGCGTTACAGAAATGTTATATAGTTATTTTGTCATAAATTGGTCCTGGAGACTGACAATGATGGGTAGGAGTGGTAGGGTTAGCACTTGGAGTTCTTTTTGTAACATTTAACCTACAAGAGAGGGCATTATAACTTCAACTTAATTAATTTACATAAGAAAAAGAAAAATCTCAGCAAATTCATTTCCATGCAATTGTAGTTGAAAAGTCTCAATACAATGGCATATGTATAGGACACCAACCCTAATGTATATGATAATAGTTACTAATGTCGAGTGAACATTGCAAATAATCTCTTTGCTTCTGAATTTCCTCCACCAGCTAGGCAATATATAGTATATTTTTGTCTTAGCTTCTCTTTGGTGAATATAATTGGTTTTGCTGAAATAGGGAATTGGTGGTGGGTGATTAAAACTGAAAACCTAGTATCATCTTTAGTTCATTTGTCTTGTAGCCTGCTATTAATGCCTCTGTGAAGTGGGATCTATTGGGACAAGTGTAACGCACAAGGAGTCAAGAATGGGAAGAGAAACTATTTCTTAAGTAGGTGGGATTTGGGTATGTCCAATACAAATACTGAACTGAAAAATTCCTGTCTCCCAATTTGCTCCAAGGCTTCCCCTAGCCTTTTTTTTTTTTTAAATCAGGGAATATTAGATGATAAAATAATGGAGGAAGGAATAAAAAAGGAAATGAGTATTACTTTATTAGTATCATTGAAACTCTCAACTTATTAGAATCAATATATTTTACAAGTTAATTCTCAATCATTTCGGGTCACATGTCCTCTCAAACTATATATGGTTGATTGAGAATTGCCAGAAAGAAAGGACGAGAGTTTTCAGCTCATGATGATATGATTTAACTATTGGATTGATATCTTGCTTGTTGTTGCACCATTGGTTTCTTCAGAATTTTCCATACTTGCATTGATCACGCATTGACGGGATATTCTGTGGTCAAATTTCTCTCTTTTTTAGGTTTGAAGAAATGAAAGGAACCGGAGAGTCCAAGCATATGCACATCAATGGCTTTGGTGAAAAGTTTGCTTTTTTTATTCGGTTTTTTGGGTCCCCTAAAGTAGGTTCAAGAAGACAGAAAATAATGGCTCAGGTTGCTTCTCCTCCTATACATAGAGGCGTATAGGAATCAAGCTAGTCTTACTATAGAAGACGATAAAAAATTTGTAGTTTATTTGGACTGCAAAGAGGACCTCTGTTAGTGGGGGGAATGCACCCATTTGTTTTTACTGTTTAGTCATAAATTAGCGCCAGGGTTTGACATTTCGAGTTGGAGTCATGCTAGGTCTCTTAGGCCCATAATTTTATGCACATTAGACACACGAATCTCATGATGAAAAATTGCCCATTCTGGTGGAAGACAAGATTGAAGGGCTTTTCCACAATGGCCACCATGGGTGTTTTTTTATTCCCCAAGGCCCAACACTTTCATTGTCAAGAGGTGAGTCACAGGCATTTGATGTAGGTATGCATTACTCTGCTTAAAGAGCAAGATTGGGATATTTCTTTTTCGAATAAAAAAAAAAGGTCACAATTCAACATATTTGATCAAATTGGTCTAGTTTTTGAACTTGTACCTTTTAGTTAAACGTTAATTGGTGAAACAAAACTTGGGTTTTACCAATTTTTACCACACCCATATTAGAAATATATTGAGATGCCAAAAAAGCTTTGATTCCACTGAAAAAACGATTCTAGTAAATGTTAGGTCCAATCTGGACTATGTTAAAACGGCTTCTAAGACATCAAGAACAAGCTTAGTATATACTAAAATTTTTAATTGCAAACTACAAATTATTGACTCACGTGATGCATATTGTGTATGAGAACTTTTATACTTACAGATTAGAAGTGCAGATTTCCTTCAACAAACTTGGGAGTAAACCATGCTGTACGTGGTACATACACCCTTCCCACCTACTATTTGGGCCAAATGTTTTCCAAAATTAAAATGGTGTAGACAAGTTTGGGTCATGTATTTTGCTCCAAAACAACTCTGGGTCTAATACGAGTGTAGTTTATCAATGTAGAGGGATTTACATTTTAAGATCTGTTTAGTAATCGAGAAATGACTCACAAGAGAAAATTTTTTTTTACGTAAATTGTTTTTAAAAAAATTTAATATTTTTTATTATTTAGATAAATTATGAAAAATATTTTTTATTATTTAGATTATTTTATAAGAAATATTTTCCATCATAGTGGAGTTATTTAGGTATTAAAATAATAAATAGAAATGGATTACAAAATAATATTGATATTTGATTTTTATTAATTTGAGATCAAAATTAAGAAAGAAAATTCACTCCAAAAAAAAAAGAAAGGAAATGAAAATGGACAAAATCAATAATTGATATTTCCCAAAACATTTAACTACATATCTATAATGAAAATAAACTCTAATTTTCAAAATTTTTTGCAATTTATCACTTTTTTATCATAATTATAACAATATTAATATTCATAAATTATGTAAGATATCCAAAACTTATACTTATAAATGTGTATTCATTAAATGACGATAATTAAAATAGTTTTTATTATAATTATCAGTAAGATTTAAACCTATTATAAATTTATATTCATTAAATGATGATCATTGAAATATTTTTTATTAAAATTATTAGTAAGATTTATTCCATTTATAAATAAAAAATTTAATTGTAATGAATGGTTTCGTTAAAAAACTATTTTTTTAAATTTTAATGGCGTTGTATAATTTAAATATTAATATTATAAATTAATTTTTTAAAAGTTAAATTTTAATATTTTTATTTTTTTAATATTTTAAGTTAAATATTAATATTCATCAAACTTATACTCATAAACTCAGTGCCCTTTTAGCCTTATTTATTTTAGCTTATCAACTATTTAAAAGCAAAAGTTGAGCTAAACAAAATTTCGTGAGAAGCTCTTGACATAAACGTTGCTTTAAAAACAAAATAAAAAAAAAAGAGCTTAAAAAAAACTCCAATTATAAGCTTTTTTTTTTTAAAAAAAAAACACATTAGCTTATTAGGAAAGCTATTTTTTCCCAAAAAAATCATCTCTCAAAAAATATCCTCTCTTTCTCTCCCTATTGAACTCTCTTTCTTCTCTCCCTTTCTGTAAATTATCATTCTAAGGTTTTTTTTTTCTTAAAAAAATTGAGAAGAAAATTTCAAAATTTAAAACTGCATTTAGGTATTATTATTTTTATTTTATTTTCTATTTTTTTAGGATTTGAAAACTCTTTTTATTGGTTGATATTTTTCATTTTATTGTTTAGTATGACAATTATGTGATGTTTATTTATTTTTAACTTCTTGATGGTGTATATAATATTTGTTATTTGAGGAACTCTTTTTTTATGATTTATTATTAATTATAAACTTTACGTTATATAAAAATTCGTTTTATATTTTTAAAAATTTAATTTAAATAGAGAAAAAATAAAATTAATTTTTTTATTTTAAATAAATAAATTTATGATTAATAAAAAATTATTTATTAAATACTTTTTATGATAATTTTAATCAAAATTAGAGTTTTTATAAATTATTTTTCCAAATAGCTTATCTATAAAAAATAACTTATAAAAAGTAAATTTATCAAGCAATTTTAATTTAATTGCAAAAGTCATTATTTTTCATAAGAGTTTTATAATAACTTTTAAATAAAAAAAAATCAAACTAAACATGCTTTTGGTCTAAAAGTGTTTTTGTTGTTTTCTTGAAAATGTTTTACACCTCTCAAGGTCATAAGACATTTTCCATGAAAGGAATAAGATATTTTTTATAATTAATTTTGTTGATTCATAGAATGTTTTACATAGACATAAGTTTTAAAAATATTTTTTAAAAAATATTTTACTACAAAACAAAGCAACACCATCTAGTTTTGAGTAGCTTGGTTTGGGTTGTAGTCACAATTCCGAGTACTGTATGTTAGCTTCTATGCCAAAAAGAGTCTTTTATTATATTAAATTCAAGATTCAACATGACATTCTAGCTTTTTGATTAATAAAACATCAAATTTCAAAAGAAAAAAAAATGGTCAAAAAGGAACAAAGAATAGGCTGAAGATGTAAATTACACAGAATAATATCTTACAGCAAAGGAAAAAGGCAAACGCCTTGACGAGAAGAAAATGAAACGAAAAGAATTAAAAAAAAAAGAAAGAAAAGACCGTGGATTTGTCACTCTAATCACCAGCTGTGTTTGTCCTTCGATTGCCACTCTGATCTAGCTCGGACTATCTCCGCCATATCGTCTTGCATGCGAAGCAGATGTGTGTATTCCAAGTCTGCCTTGCGATTATTAGAATTGTTGTTTGAATCTTCAGTCACGTTAGCAGTTGAACTCGTCAAGGACTCTAGCAAATTGGATTTCCGGCATTCACGTCGATACTCCAGGGTCATGCTCGTCAGACGATGCTCTTCCAGGACATCCATTGGCACACTCTGCATATCAGGTGGTAAATTCTTGTAATTTCCTCCTCATCTTATACAAGTTTTCACTTAGTTGGTGATTGCCTCATTAATTGAAACGTCCTCTTAACATTTTTGTTTTGTTTTTTTGTAACAAAGCACAAACTGTGATATTTGTTCATTCACTTCGTTGTCTTATATAATTAAGTCGGACTTAGACATTAGGGATAATTATTGTACCTCCAAAATCCATCCGATGTATTTAACATTGTTGACATGCTGATTGGCATCCATGTCGCTCCATCTTGGCTGGATTGCGAGACAAAAGGCAATTCATAAAACCAGGGAAATAATATTCTCAGAAAATGGCGCGAACAATAAAAAGCACAGAGGGGTAATAAAACTATTGTAATTAGAACTCACAGCTAAGCCAGACCGTATTCTTTCAGCGTTTTCATCAGTAAGCTTATCAATCTTTCCAATATCGTTCTTCTCTTCAGCAATTGCAATCCTGTTTAGGTAGAATGGAATCACTTCTTCCCTAACTTGTTCAGGAATCTTGGTTAATCTTCGTGTTTCGTGGTTCATAATCACCCATGTGCTGTGGGGGGATAAAAATAGTTAACTAATAAGAGGCAGTAATCATTTGTTATCAGAGGGAAAAAATTGGAGATGCTGCACCTTGTTGCTCTTGTTATGATCTCCTGTGTATTGTAGTCTCTGATTATCCAGTCCCTACGCATTGCATTCTTTCCTGCTGCATCAACCCAAGTATCAATCTCCACAACATCTCCCCTGTCAGATCGAATTATTCAGGATTGATTTGTATGCAAAGTTGACCAAATTTTATGTTAGGAACATTAATAGTATATAACAATTACAAATATCGGTGTATCGATCGGGATAATAGGGATACCAGCAGCTATATCTCTCCACTTGAACGTGGATGCGTGTGACGACCCATATGAGTTTCCTAAGGCTCATCTCACGGGTAGCCCCAAAGCCATTCCCAGCAAGACCAGAGCTCCTTACATGATTCAAAGCTGTTTCCTGCATTGCATACACTTTCAACAAAATTATTGTCTCCCAAGAAGAAAAGATTCATATAACCATATTATCATTCTATGCTTTTTGCAGATGAAACTTGAAAGTGGGAATTGTTTGCATATATACAAATATATATAAAAAAGGCTGTATAATAGTGGTATAAAGAAAACCAACCTGAAGGAGATTCATAAGCGTTTCCATGGTGGCAGTTTTGTCCGGTCCAGTTTCATAAGACCTGATGATGAAGGTCTGCCTGTAGACATGCCTATCTTCCACAAACCTTCCAACCAAACTCGCCGCTTGGGCTTGTTTGCAAGGAACGTGTTCTTTTATCAACACAGTGTTCTTCTTTTCCGTATATGGAGCTTCACCAGCAGAAATTCCATTTACTTTTCTCCCGTTGATCATGTCAAGATTATGAGGATTTTTAGCACTTGCAATTAGCAAAAGGCCTTTCCGTTTCGGTTTGATCAAGTTCCATGAAGAATAAAAACCCAACTTCGCCATGGCTTCATTCTTCCTATTCTCTTCCTTGCATGCACCCCCTAGAAATAATGAAGTTACATTGCTTGCTTTGGCCATTGATGCCATTGGTAAGTGCCTCGCATTTGCTCACCCGCGAACAAAAAATGAAAGTCAAGCTAGCAAAACTTGAAAGTTCGGAAAAAGAAACAGATGGCAGTGCCTAGCTCCCTAGCTCCAGCATCCTTGTTGAATAAAAAAAAAATATAATTCTCAAATGTTAATTAGTTCGTTCAACAACTTTTGGAACAGCCAAAGACAAATTAACCGCGAAGAAACGGGAAATCCTCTCTAAAAAGCGAGTGGGTATATAGAAACAAGATTACTAGAGGAGCAGATGCAATTTGCCGCTCAACCACTTCCAATGGGTGGGGGAGAAATCGAGAAGCCTCAATCGTTAGCTTGCACGCAAATAGGGGAGCAGTCGAGTGGCATTGGTGCATGGTTCTATTGAGGGTGAGCATTCTCATTTTTACTAATAGAAAATTTGCATGTCTTGGGGATGAGCCATTCATTCAATGATTCTTCCATTAGTTAATTAGTGCTATATGTGTGCTAGAAAATTGGGGCACCTCTACAGTAATAGAGTGCTTCAAAGCCGGACGAAGAAACGGTTTCTTGGAAAAATGATTGTGTAGGTTATCCATTCCTTAGCCCAAAGGTGTAAAGAAGTCGAGTCCAGCCCATACAACATTGTTAGACTTGAGCTTGTCTCAATTAAGAAATTTGAGGCTTGGGCTTTAATTTTTTGTATTTGAGTTTTCAACTAGTAAATATCAATTTGAATAAAAGCTCGAAGCTCGAATTCAACACTTGAATATTGTTTAAAAGCATGTAATTATTATAATATTTTATTAACAATAATTATTAATTATTTTTAAAAATTTAAAAACTTGATTAGACTTATAAATCTCTCATGTCGAATATTATAAAACTCAAATTTAACTTGATAATGAATAAGTCAAGTTTGAGCTGAAAATGAACGAATCCAATTCCAACATTCATTTTCATTAAGTCGAGTCCAAATAATTGATGAATAACTTAAACTTGTTTACACCACTAATCCTAGCACTAGAAAAATTTTCATCAACATTACACGTTACCAAAATTTCATGGGTTGGGCTAGGTCGAGTTAATTGATACCTCTAAAAACTAGGCTCATGCTTGAGGTAAGCCCATTTAAATTAAATTTATTATTAAAAATATCAAGTAATATTTTTATATTAAAGATTTTAATATTTTCAGAATAAATTTAAAATTTCATTAATCTAATTATGTCTCAGTTGGATCGAGCCCAAGGCAAAAAATTTTATTCAAAACTTGGACTTAGTCGAGATAGGTTGATGGGCCTAGCAGAAGGCCTTGTCCAAAGTCAACCAAGCTGACGGAACTTACGAGAAACTATTTATAGGCGCCAGGACTCGGCATAATCCCCTTACGGGATGGTAACAAGGGAAAATGCAACATATGACTGAACCTCTTAATGGAAATTTTTAGGTTCCTCCAGAATATGATATTCTAAAGATCATATGATTTGGAAGATCTTTATTTTTTTTATAACAAATATATCATTATGAAATGATAATACCAAAACAGTATTCTTTCTTATTCAATTTCTTATATTGAGTTTTTTAATGATATGAGAGCCAGCATATAATATTTTACGTTTTTTTTTCTTCATCAATCATGTCTTCCTTAAGCTCAGAAAATACAATCTGCCTTTCAACAACCCTGTCCAATCCTACACTTCTTTTTTCCAATTAATGAAATCTTTTTTTTTTTTTAAGAATAAAAGCAAGACTGAAATTCCATTGATCAGTTATAGATTACAAAAACTACCCTTGAAGGGCAGCAGTGCAGATGACATTTACAAGCTTTCAGTGACCTGTATAACTTGCTCTGCATGAGTGAAGAAAAGACAAAAGTATTAACCTGGTTGCAGATGAGATCAACCTATAGACATCTGCAAACGTTGCTTAAGCTGTTCAAAAATCCACCCATATAACACGCAGGAACATCCCAACACAACCAAGTTTCAATTCCCTGTACTGTTTTAGATCCGACAACATCAGCTACTGTTTTACGGCATTATTTCATTCGTCACAGAAAGTGTTGTGCTTTTTTTGCTTCTGCTGAAACTTCCTTTGATGCTTAGGTCAAAATCAATTAATAAGTTGCATGTTAACAAGTCTAGATCTTGAATGATAAATTTGAAAGAAAATCTTACCAAATCCAAAAACACTAACAAGTTTTGGAATACTTCTGAAAACGTTACTAATGAACTTTACATTGGTGAATTCACTTTTTAAGTGAAGATGAACTTGTGATCTTCTATGCTCTTAATGCAATTTGTTCTTAATTACTTCAAAGACATTGCAGCTAATGTGAGAGTTAAGAAATCTTACATTACCTTTGGACTGATTACAAAGAAGTTAACAAGAAACAAGAATCATCAATTGACATGACCATACTTTCTACCTATATTGTTGTCAAAATTACTTCTTTTAATTCCAACAAATCAAAGTAACATCGATTTCTTCAAAATAATAAATTTTCTGACCAATTGAATTTTTTAAAAATTTTCATATCATTTAAACTTCAAAATTAGTTACTGAGTTCGTTCTATAATAAACCAAAACAAGTTGCTTCAAATGAGACCTAAATCTTTTACCTCAACTACTAATCATGTTAATCATGTGATAACATCAATATCTTCAGTTTAAGAGTTTTGAGGCATTTTTGTATCCTAAAGACATAATATCCTTTAAAAAAATTATTTAAACACCTCAAAATCAGATTCTTTCTTTCTTTTATTTAGAAGTTCTTATATTTTCTAATAGTGGAAAAAAGGTTCCATTTATCTTGTCAAGTTGCTGGTTGGCAACTAAAGTAATCCATCAAAGTTCTGCATAAAATGCGCCATGTGCGAGACAAAATGCGTATTTCATGTTCAAAATGCGTATTTCATGAATTTTATCAATATTTATGTCTCATGAAGTGGTTCAAACATTCAAGATTTATTTTTTTAATAACAAAATTTCTCTTAAGTACAAAAGCTTCTATTATTTACGCAAGTAGATGTGGTAATTGGGTGAGATAGATCGGGGTTGTGTATGATATTTTTAGTCTGGAATCAAGTTACATTGGATTAGGTAGTTTGGAGTTTTTGTTTTAATTTATTTTATTTATTTGGGTGAATGTTATTATTATGTATGTATTTGAATTATTTGGAACTTGTTTTTTGTTGAAATTTAAAATTTTAAATCATAGACTTTTTGATAAATTAACGTTCACTAGTTTAGAGAGGACAATTGTGGTGGAATTTAGTTACGCCAATCTCTAGACTCAAGTGGCAGTGGTGAATTATTGAAGGAGGAGAAAGTGAACATTTAATACCATTTAAGATGCTTACAACTAGCTAGTAGAAATATACAAAGTAGGGGTGAAAATCAAAATTCCCAGCTTTGAATTGGACTTTCACGTTTCTTGATTCCAACTGCAAACAGCCTCTGTCTCAATTGGTTAGTGTAGGTTAGGTTTAGGGCTCAGCATTGACACCGGCCTATTCAATCCAGGTCGCGCCCAGAAACCCATTTTCGACGTGCTTGCAGGCAGGCTTCCTAGTTCCTGGTTTCCCCGTTGGAAAGTCCAGTCCGAGACCCAGATACACGGAAGGAGAAGCAAAAGCAGAGGAAATGAAAAGCTGAAAAAGAGACAAAAGCTGTTGTCTTACATTTGGATCCATGTGGATAATGGCGTGTGTCACCGGCCTTTCATCATCGAACACATGAACACGTGGCTTGTACTTTGGGGAAAGAACAATTCCCCCCTTGGATTCCCATAACTTCGGCTATAACTTAATCCCCCCACAAATTACAAACAAAACATTAAACAAATCAAGATAAAAAAATAGCAAGGTCCGGCGATCAATTAATGATGAAAAGCAGTGGATCGCTACGATCGGACGGTGCTTAATCTATTTCCACACGTCAAGCCAGAATCTGATACTGGCTCTCATCTTGCCACCTGGTACCCACTTCTCCCTATAAATATGTGACCTCATCTTCAGTCATTTCTCCCTCGAATTTGTCTTGATATCAACGAACCACAAACCGTTTTCTCATTTAACTTTTTCTTCACTCTTCACTCTGTCCTATCCACCAGTGTTCTCTCTGCTTATCTCTTTGCAAACATCAAACACTTCCCCAGAAGCAAAATTTTAAAGGGCTGAAAACTCAACAATGGGTCGTTTCTGGGCTTTGCTCACAAACCTTCATTCATTAGCTGGGTAATTTCTCTTTAGACTTCATCTTTTGTCTTTTACTACTAATATGCTTACCTTGATTTTGTATGAAGAATTGAACTTTATATCTGATTTTTTTTATATATTTGTCATGCCTGCAGACCTGTGGTGATGTTGCTGTACCCCTTGTAAGGAAATTTTAGCAATATTTTCTGTTTATCATTACTTTTTCTTCGGTTATTTTGTGGGTGTTTAATATTCTTGTTTTCTTGAAATATATTGTTTTGTATATCAGATATGCGTCGGTAATAGCTATAGAGAGCCCGGCCAAGGATGACGACGAGCAGTGGCTTGCATATTGGATTTTATATTCGTTGCTAACTCTGACGGAGATGGTGCTCCAATCAGTCTTAGAGTGGTAATTAAGAACTTGTCTACACAGAATTAAAGGAAGGTATGATCAAATTTGGTTTCTAATTGGATCGATAATGGAATTGCAGGATACCAATTTGGTACTCAGTGAAGCTGCTGTTTATGGCATGGCTGGTTCTACCACAGTTCAGGGGTGCAGCTTTCATATACGAAAAGTTTGTGAGAGAGCAAATCAAGAAATACGGAATTTTGAGAGAACATCAGGGTCACCATAGCGGTTCTCCAAATGGGAAAGGCAAGAAGAAATTTGTGCAGTTCATCGTCCCCAAGAAAGTGAGTTAACGAATCTATGCAGTCACAATACGTTTGGAGTTTTTATATATTTAACACACACTGTAATTCTCCATTAAAAGAATATTAGCTACATGAAAGTAGGAGAGGGAAGCAACACTAGAGTTTTCGCCAATATTATTCTGATGGGCTGTTGTTGATGTGGATGGCAGGGGGAGCAAGAGGCTTACTGAAGAAGAAGAAGGTAGCCTCGGTTGCTGGGATCTTTATGTTCCTTGCTTTCCACTTCAGCTCTGATTGGTGATTTCTCTTTGATGGTTGTAAATGCTTACCCCTTGGACAAGTGTATGGCTTGCAGGAACCTTGACACGTAATGATTAAGAATGAGATTATCAAAGCTTTGATTGTCTGTGAGTTAATCCCTGTTCATTGATAATGACTGACCACCCAAATTTCAATTCAATTGTCAAGCAATTAACAACTATCCTCGCACTCAAAAACTGTAAGCTATGAAACTGACAGGCATTTACAATCCTTAGTAACTCTTACCAATTCAAAGTGAATTAAGCGTTATTCAAGAGTCGGAATGGTTTGAACGAATATAAACTATCAATGAAAAGTCTAAAATTTGTATTGCTACGGGTCCTCTTTTATTCCTATATCCCTTTCCTCCAAATTTTTATTTTTGGTCGGTTTTCTTTTCTAGTTTGTTCGTTTGAAAAAGAGATTAATCTAAACTTTTGACTGGGGCCTTTGAATGACTAAAAAGAGCAAAACAGTAATTCTCCGGGCAGTCGTGATCTTTAGTGCAATAGCCTAATTCGGTAAAAGTTTCAGCATTTAGTATATTAAAGCCTCGTTTCGCTGGACGCCACGGCGACACGGTGCGGTGTGGTTCCCACCGCATCGAACCCCGGCCATGCGGGCTCTAAGAAGGAACTTAAGCCCAGTGCGAGATGAGGCTTTCTCCGAAGCTGATTTCTTTTACTTCGTGGGCCTTAAACAGTGGCAACAAGCCCTGAGTTAAAGGTGGGTTAAACTTAAAAGATGCTGTTCTCATAGTTCACGACTCCAGGTTGCCCCGTCGACCGTCGCCACCCCTTAATGAAATGACACAAATTATAATCCAACCGATTTTAGTTGGGTATGCAACATCTTATGGCCCCATGAATTTCCGGGTGAGTTCATCAATCATTTTCATTCCATGAATGTTAGGGAGTTTTGTATGTCTGGTGCAAGCATGAATTTCCAGAAATAGCTTGCAGCCAAAGAATCAACATGAACAAAAGTAGCAGCCATGCCTATATATGCCCTGTCAGAATAAGTTGTAGATCTACATCTGAGAAGGCATTTATATCAGCAACAATATGGCTTTCAGCCTGTACATTCCACCATTTCCTTCATATTCTAACCTTTAGCCTATCATTTTTCCATTTTTTTGGTTCCATTCATTAAGTATTGTATAGATGTTTGTACTGAACTGTACATACACGTACACACATGCCTTTGCACATGCATTCGTGTATCTCTTAGCATATGCATCGATCAATGTCCATGAAATAAAGTGTATCAATGTCTTCAAAAGCCAAAACTCTTATATTATATATTAAACAAAAGAAAAAAGCCAAGCCTCTGGCGGTCTTTGAAATTTCCTCTTTTAACTTTCAGAAAAATTAGTATATAGGTCCTTGTTTAGTTATGTATAACACTAAAATACTAATTAGCCACGCATTATCAGTATATTTCCTTTTGGCTCATTACCATAAAGTTCACATCTATTCCCCACACTATAAGAAATCCTGGTTTGCTTTATTAATATATTATATTTAGTAAATATAAAGCCTCTTTCACGCTTCAATGCACCTTGTTGCAACTTGTTAATAAATAATTAAGAGAAATCTCTGTTGAACAATGATTCGGGTCTCCCGTTCTGAGGCCAAGTTGAAGCAATACAAATACTGGTGTCAAGGAAACCACGTCGATCAGTTCATTTGATAATCAGGCACTTGTTTCTAACCAATTATCAGTTGATCTGATCTGATCAGATGCAAGAAATTAAAAATCATGCACTCATGGGATACTTTCTCTTTGTGGGTCTGTACTAACCAGATTTGAGGTGTCTGGATCCTTCCCAGAAGGTATCTGCAATCTTTTCTTTAACAAAAGCATATATATGCCAATCAATGCAATCTTATGATCAACAATGGCAGCTTTGACAAATGGTCTTGAGTCAGTCAAGGAAAGGGTTGTGAAACTGAAGAAGAATTGCTCAAATTTTCAGAGCAGGCCAGCTAAAAAATGCTTGATGAAATCCGCCCTAAAAGTTAACTCCCCCACATAAATCTAGCAAGCCTTGCCACTTTGCACTATTAATAAAGTTGCTCTATAACTGAAAAGGACGTAAGCTTGCATACTTGGTTCAGCTAACCGGTTTCCTTACTCTTGTAAGCATGAATTATTACCAGACGGCATGTTTGGTTAGGGGAATAACGAAACCACTCTCTATTCCTTATAAAATTTTCCCTCCTCGTTCGGTTTTGTTTTTGAAAGAAGGAAAGAATGGCTATTCCTCAAAACTTGGCAATAGCTTGGAATAACTAGTACCACCGTATTAGCTATTTCACACTTATGGGAATAAAGTCCAAACATTTTGAATTAAAATGCCCTTACTTATTTTTAAAAATTACAAACTTAAGCTTATAAAATTAATATTTTAATTATGATATATTAAATTATAAATAAAATATTAATTTTATTTTAAAAATGAAAATATATTAATTTTTAAATTATTAGGTGAAAATATAAATTAAAAAATGAAAATGAAAATAGAGAAAAAATAAATCTTATTATATTAAAATGTTTAAGTTTTTAATTACATATTATAAAATATTTTGAATTTAAAAAATAATTAAAAGATTAATATTTTAATCATAATTATATTTAAATTATAAATAAAATATTAATTTTTAAATTACCAATTATTAATAATTCAAACAAAAATAAAAATTATTAATATTTAAAAAATAAAATAAAATAAAAATAAATAATCATAATAACATTTAAATTATAAATAAAATATTAATAGTTAAATGATCAATTATTAATAATTAAAACAAAAATAAAAATTATTAATATTTAAAAAATAAAATAAAATAAAAATAAATAATCATAATAACATTTAAATTATAAATAAAATATTGATAGTTAAATGATCAATTATTAATAATTAAAACAAAAATAAAAATTATTAATATTTAAAAAATAAAATAAAATAAAAATAAATAATCATAATAACATTTAAATTATAAATAAAATATTAATAGTTAAATGATCAATTATTAATAATTAAAACAAAAATAAAAATTATTAATATTTTAAAGATAAAATTAAATAAAATAAATAATCAAAATAACATTTAAATTATAAATCAAATATTAATAGTTAAATGATCAATTATTAATAATTAAAATAAAATAAAAATTATTAATATTTTAAAGATAAAATTAAATAAAAATAAATAATCTAAATAACATTTAAATTATAAATCAAATATTAATGTTTTAAAAAATTAATTAATTTATAAATAAAATATTAATATTTAAATTATAAATTATTAATATTATAAATAAAATATAAATTATTAATATTTAAGCATAAAATAAAATAAAAATAAATAATTATAATAACAACTAAATTATAAATTAAATATGATTATTTTTAATATTAATGATTAAATTATAAATAATATTAATATTAAAAATAAAATAATTTAAAAATAAATAATCATAATAACATTTAAATTATAAATAAAATACTAGCATTTTATAATATTAATGATTAGATTATAAATAAAATATTAATATCTAAAAATAAAATAAAATAAAATAAATATATATAATAAAAGATATTTTTGTTTTTTTATCTTCTATTCTTTTCTTATTTCAAAATTATTTTTACCAACTAAATATTGTAATAAATTGAAATAATTATTCCTACTCTATTTCATTTATCATATCAAACAGCGTAATAATTATATTTTTATTTTATTTTATTATCCTGTAATAATTATTTTATTTTATTTTTCTCTATTCCATAAACCGAAGGTAATGTAATAGTATTCCAAGAATCAATCACTGCCTGGTATGTTACTTCAGCCATAGGCACGCTCTTGATGTTACCAAGCATGAATACAAGTCGGGCACGTTGATGGCGATTTCCCATACCACAATTCTTTTTGGCACAAAGTAAGAGTAAATTGTTCTCACATCTCAGAGCACAAGAAGATAAATATATATATATATATATATATATATATATGTTGCAGGTTATTCAATCGATGCCCTTGATCTTGGAAGATATGCTTGTGATATGTAGTTACAATTTAATCTTCGAACTCAGGTCTATGGTTTTATTTGCTTTCAAATATTCCAGATTACCGATAATTACGGCATGATATACAATTTCCTTTTTCAACCAGGGAAATACAGTTACATGTTTCCTAAAGTTTAAAGAATCAATTAAAGTAGGATTTTTCAGTCCATGGCCGGTGAAGTGACTTTGAAAAGAGGATCAAGGAATCCACTCTGTACTATCTGAGAACCGTTATCAGGAAAGCACCTGTGCAGCAAATATTATCCATTTTTCAGACTCAGCTAATCCAGAATAGCAGAGCAAGAATTTAGTCATCCTACATCAGATTTGCAAGCCATTTTCTCTTCTTTTAAAGAATATCCAAACATGCCTCTCTTCTTTTATTATGCCCCATTGCCCCACTTCCCATGTACTACACTAGCTGCCCTTTACGTGAGTTCTAGTGGAGAACGTGCCCTCTACAAATAAAATTATGAAAGGCAAAAGCTAAAGATCTTCTTTGCTAAAACCCCACTTCCGTTCTATTGAGCCCGCCAGAATGAAAAAGAAAGCATGAATGCTTTTTCAGTGGACTTGTTCTTTAATGTGGTACTTTGTAGGCCTTAAGGAAGTTTAAATGAAATAAGAAACCATTGCACGGAGACTGATGCATGGTAGAATCAATCAAGCGAATGGCAGATTGCCTTCTATTCTAAGAATTTGTTAGCGTGAAAGACTCAAAACCACAAACTGATGGGGGAAAAGTAGAGCTACCCTAGCAAATAAAGTAGCCAAATAATAAAACACTAATAAATCTCCCGTAGCTTTTCAAAAAGTCATCTTCCCATTTAAAAAAAAGAAGAAAGCAACATGTGGAAATCTTACCGAAATTTACCTCCTTTTCCCCGGCTATATAATCCACAGATTGTAATGCTTTAGGGTCAGGCAGATGGAAATCCACCTCATTTTCTTTTAAATTTTCCTCTGGACTCATCCCCAGTTGTCTCTGGTTCTCTAACCAGATGATGAAGTGAGCTCTATTATTGTAATACCCCCTTAGACACCCCGTTAACCACTTTCGTAGAAATAGAATGGACTCTATCATGATGCAAAAGTTTCAAGCCATCAAGAAATCCAAGAAGTGTAAGAAGCAGCAGCTTCTTGACAAATTTTTTCTCTACACCTTCGTAGCATTTACTGGTAGTGTAATCTGTTCCAGCCCTTTTTGGTTTCCCTACTTGTGTTCCTCAATGAAGGGCTTTCTCTTCATCTCTCTACCAAAGATGAGTTCAATCTTATACAGCCCCAAGCTTTTGTTCCTCGTAGGCAACCTTATTGTTGTTCTTCTCATTGGAGAATCCAGGTTTTTGGCTTCAGGCTCTTCTCTTCCAGGGGATGCGTACTATGATGAGTACGTTGATCGAAGTCGAAGCCTTCGAAATTCTTCCACCCTGGAACTCAAGAAAGAGCAGAAAATGAAACCTTCTGATCAAGAGAATTTGAAGTGGACTTGCCAAGTTGGAGGCAAAGTGGTGTCAGTAAGGGGAAGACTGGTTGAGGAAATTAAAGAAGTAAAGAGGGGAAAACAAGCTTTGGGAGGAGAACATGAGCTTATTTTGCCTACTGAAGAATTGAAGAAAAGGGCTGATGATTTCATTGCAAGGGTCAACAGGCAAAGGAAGCTTGAAGCGAGATTACTACTTAATTAGTAGCAGGGAATAAGGGGAAAGAGAATTATGCAAATATATAATATGGGGCACAGAAGAAAATTAAACCACTTTTATACCTGGAACCATGACAAGCTATATTAGCTTTTTAGTATTTAATTTTCTTAAATGAACCTCCAAGATGTACTTTCTTTTCTGTAACTTACTGGAGCTGATGCTGGTTTTTATCTCTTGTATAGAGGAAAGTATAGTTACCAGTATAGTCTCTTACTCACATGAACTTGATCCAAATTCTGGCTTTGAAAGGAGATTGGTCTCTGATCACGCACGTGTTTATAATAAACTACAGAAATGCTCAACTTCAAGGATCTAACTCAGAACATAATATTGAAGAAATGGAACCCAATCTAATTAATCCCAGGTGCCATAACATCCAGTAATTTCAGCTTGGGAGGGCAACTAGCACTGGCACCCCACTCCTTTTTCCATGAGGAATGACAAAAAATCGAAGCGTGGGATGATCAACGGAAGAATTTGAGCTGCCATTTCTGCAATGAATTTTCAGATTCCGTAGGATATTGCTATGTATTTCCAGAAAGCAGAAGGAAGAAGCCACGAAATTTCTATGGGACTAAAATTAAATTGGACAAACAAAAAAGTTGCACCGTCCATATACTTTGTTTGAATGGCAATGATTTCTCTTTTTGCCCAAAAGAAAAAGTTACACGACAGAAAAATTACTCAAGTAATGGCATGTTTCAATGCAGCTCCAAAGTAATTACATTATTAATTAGATTAGCTAGTTTCTTAGTTCACGTGATTTATAGTTTTATTTTTAAAAAACATAATACTTAAAATTTTTTCAAAAATATTTTTAAAAATTTAAATAAATTTAAATAAATCTTTATTGATTTTCTTTTTTTATGATTTCGACGATGATATGGTAGCTACCATGGACTAATAGGACGAGAACCAGGCAGCGATGCATGGGGGCAAGTGAAAACAAGGAAATGGGTCTCTTGGCCTATGGGGACTAGTGGGATGGCCAACGGGAGCTCCGATGGTCGAAGATCAATAGATTAGAGAAAGATGGGGAATCCGGTGGTGACGCTTCCTGATTTGGTGGCTGAAAAGTGATATGGGTCCAATACAACTTGAAACAACGTACAAGAAGTTTCCGACAGTTTTAAGCAACGTGGTTACATGGTTACGGATAAAGTCGGTGTAGTGAGCTTGACGGTCGTTGGTTAGTGGTGGTTTTTGGTGAAAAGAAAATAGGTGTAGTTTGGATAGTATTGTGATAGAGGTTTAGAAAAAAAAAATAGACAGGATAGTGATATCATGAAATGAGAAATCATATATTGAATTGTGAATTTATACAAAAAGAATGATATATATATATATATATATACATAATTTGATCATTTAAATAAAAATTAGACTTATAGTATCGTAATCTTAATTTAATGTTATTATAATGATATTATAATCTAATCTTTAGTATGCTATTCATATAACTCTAATTATTATGTTAAGAGTTTCTTATCTATATATGGTTCTCATTCATTATTTTTTTTAATCATTAGGTAACTGACATTTATGTCAAGTCATAGTGATTTTTAAATATTTTTTTAATTGCAAAAAAAGAGATTCAAATTCTAATTTTTAGACAGAGATCATGAACCAATCAATTAACTAAATATATAAATTAATTAATCAAATACTTAACTGTGTGGTCTAAAAAAGGTTGTTTGACAAAGTATATTTTTCTAATATTGAGATCAAACTTTGTTTTAAGATCATGTTAATATGCATGGAACTTGAAAATATTTTGCAAACGTAGTCTCTTAACTCTTAACTAATAATGTTCTTGGACTCTAAATTTTTTTTATTTTTTTGGTCTTATATACAATAGCTGATTTTAATTTTACTTAAAATTCTAAAAAGTTTGAATTGAATTTTAATTTTTATTGGTTATAAATTTACTTTTTGCAACTATATTTTCTTTGAAAAAAAAAGGAAAAGGTAAATTGTTATGGTTGGGGGTAATAATGAAAAGGAAGAGAGATTTTTCTGTATTACTCTTCAAATCGGAAATTAATATGGGACAAATAAAAAAGATATTCATGGGATAGGACGATCGAGTATATTCTATTATCGAAATTGCAAACGGTGACGATGGCATAAAGCAGACTATCTTTGCTTGCAAGCCGCCAAGTCATAAAGCAAAGAGTGCCTTGGCAGTGAGCAAGCATGCAAAGGGAGGGGAATCAAAGGACAAATGTGAATGCCATGTTGGGTTTGCGTCAGCCCTCAATGAACGTGTCAAGTCCTTGCCATATAACCTTGCATGGCGACTTGGCTATAAGCACTCTGCATACTCAATTGGTTTTATAATTTCATTTCATACATTAATTCTCCTATTCTCTCTTCTCTGTACGTGTAACAGACCATGGATCTTATTCACAAGTTCCTGAACCTCGTAGCTCCTTGGTTCACCTTCTTCTCTCTATGCTTATTCTTACCACCATTTTCTCTCTTTAAATTCTTCCTCGCCACGTTAAGCTCCCTTTTTAGCGAAAACGTGTCCGGAAAAGTTGTCATCATAACAGGTGCTTCTTCAGGCATAGGAGAGGTAATTTACATGTTTCATGATAGAGAAAACTCAACTTAAATTGCTGGAGGTAAAAAGTTAATTGTCATGATGAGAAAAGTTGTATTTCTTTGTGATTTTTGCAGCATTTGGCTTATGAGTACGGTAGAAGAGGAGCCCGCTTAGCTCTCACAGCAAGAGAGAAATCGCTGCAAGAAGTTGCTGATACAGCGTATGATTTGGGATCTCCTGATGTTATAACAATTCGTGCAGATGTTTCAAACGTTGATGACTGTAAGCGACTTGTTGAGGAAACTGTCAATCATTTTGGGAGATGTAAGTGCAAACTTTTATATACGTAGCCTGTTTTTAGTAATTGTTGCTATTAATTATAGTATGAAAATTGTCAACACTGTATAAGTCATGGCCTCTTGGATACAGTGGACCATCTGGTGAATAATGCTGGTATAACTTCAGTCTGCATGTTTGAAGATGCACCTCTAGATATGACTAATTTCAGAGCTGTAATGGTAAAAGATTTTCTGGCTTTAAGTCAATTACCACATCTCAAGTCCTGTTTATAGCAAATTGAGGGATATGAATCTCAATTCTCATTGGTCTAAACTTGGTCACTTTTCTTGGGTTTCGATGCCCCTTTTCCTCTTATCAGGACACAAATTTCTGGGGTTCAGTTTACACCACCCGCTTCGCAGTGCCACACCTCAGAAATAGCAAAGGCAAGATCGTTGTCATGTCCTCCGCTAAGTCATGGTTGCCTGAACCAAGAACAAGCGTCTACAATGTAATTATCACCACCTTTGTTCTGATTCTTGTGTTTAGAAAAGAACATATCTTAAAATATTTCCCTTCCCTTTATCTTAATTTGTGTTTTGTGATGAGTACTTATAACGCTTCAAGGGCTATCTCAGGCAAGCAAAGCAGCATTGGCTGCCTTTTTCGATACATTAAGGATTGAACTCGGGCGTGATGTTAAGATAACTATTGTGACACCCGGGCACATAGAGTCTGAAATTACCCGAGACAGACACCTTTCGAAGGAAGGCAAAATGGAAGTAGAGCAAGACATGAGAGATGTAAGGCGCCCTTAATTCGTCTTATGTATGCTATATTTTTGGCATATGTGGATGTTCATACATGTCAAATCTGACATTTTCCCTTGTGGAATCAATAGGTTCAAGTGAGCGCAATTCCTGTTGCATCAGCTAGCGAGTGCGCCCAGGCAATTGTGAACAGCGCGTGCAGGGGAGACAGGTCCTTGACACAGCCATCATGGTACAGCGCCACCTACCTGTGGAAATTGTTTTTTCCTGAGGTGATCGAATGGGGTTACAGATTATTCTCTCTCACAAGTCCAGGGGTTCCACGCCAGGAAGCCCCTAGCAAGAAGATTTTGGACCTCACCGCCGGAGCAAAGAAACTTCTTTACCCGTCTACCATCCAGTCCCCGGAGATCAAGACAGATTGATTAGCATCCACATGTTCCCTGTAGTTGAAAGTTTGAAAGCTTTATCCCTGTATGCCCGCCTTTTTAAATACTAGAATAGCTAGTACTATGAATAAGCTAATCCAGGCTGGATGAATCCTTTTCGGTGGTTGGGTTTATCAATTTCAAATCTCCTCCTTGCATTGTCTCAAATACTTCAGTTTTTGAAATCTAAATGAATCTGATAATTTGGATAAATATTCTTTTAATCATACAACCAGGAGCAGAAAGCAATCAAAAAATAACAGTATACTAGACACTGCTTAGAGTATATCTGTAGAAGCCCCAATACCATTTGATTGAAGTACTAATTCTAGGAATAGAATGATAACTAGAATTAATTATTATTATTATGGTTTATATTGGTAATTGGGAAATTATTTTTGTTTAATATATTATTATTATTATCATCATCATCATTATTATTATTATTATTCATTTTCAATATATTTACTTATAATCAATATAATAAAAAGTCATTTTTAGGGGCAGGGAATTTCTAATCATCATGAATATGATAAGAGAATTATATCATTTACCATAAAATAAAAATTCAATTATTATTATTTTTATAAAAAATTAAAGTGATTGTATCCCTAAAATTGGTTATCAAGATTTTTTACACAAAAATTATAATTTTACGTGATTAAATGAAAATGTAATATTACACTTCTTAAATTTTAACTCAAACATTTTATTATTACGTTTTTTTTATGAAATAAAGAAGTGATTTGTATCCCTCAAATTACCTATTAAAATTTTTTACAAAAAACTATAATTATGCGTAATTAAATAAAAATATAATGTTAAAAAATAATATTTTTAAAGTTTAACTTAAACTATGAGAATAAAGATAAAAATAATAACATATGATGTAAAATGAGTAAAAAGATATCGTATATCAACTTAAAATAAATTATAATAATTATAAATGTAATTAAGTATAAGAATAATTATAACTTGATTACAATTTAACATAAATAAGTAAAATACATTATAAAATAAAAATTAATCTTTTAAAATCTTAAAGTAAATGTGTCAAAATAAAGATATATTTTATCTCATTTATCATAAAATAGAAATTTCAATTTTTATTTTTCTTTACAAACAATTTTTAAAATTGTTGAAAAAATAGTGAAAATTTATAATTGACCGAACTAATCAATATAATTCACTTTTAATTATTTCGATGTTAAGATATATTTTGATCAATTGGATTATATTTTTATAAAAATTTAATTAATTCCATCTTAAAATTTTCAAATGGAATCCAATTAAACCGATTGTAATTCTTACGCTTTTAAATGAGTGGGACTTTACAAGAACGTCGGGACAAGAACAATCAAACAAGGCCGCATGGTAGTTGTCATTATTACCTTCCAAATTAAGGCAGGCATTATTTGAAGTCATCTCGAAACACTTCTTATAATATACATTTTATTCAACAAAATATAATATATATATATATATATAACCATGACCATAATTTATAATCACAATCAAATAGTATTACATCAAATGTTAAAACAATTTTAAAATAGCATTTAGATTAGTTTTCGAGGAGTCTTGTTAACTAATAAAAACTGAATGAGAACTTTCAAGATTCAAATATGTAATTTTGGTCTTTTTCTTTATGAAATTTGATTATTTGATATCATGTTAAGGAAATAGGTAAACAAATAAATAGAAAAAGGCTCAATTTGCATTATTTAAGTTGCAACCACAAAAAATATTTTATCAACAAATTAATATATATATTGTGTACGTTATAGGTTTAGTTTTGGTTTGATTGATTTTTTTTTTTTGAAAAAGCAACCAAAGAAAATAGTCGAGAGTTTATTGCATTTGCTTTTAGGGTAACGTCGGGCAGACAAGAGTGCACTTGCCTACTCTTGTTTTGGATTAAGGTTGCGTTTGGTATGAAGGAAGTGGGAGCACATTCCCTACAATGTAAGATTGCAATGCAATCACATTGCAGCCAAGGGATGTAATGTGATTGTAATCCAAAACTAATGCAATCACATTACATTGTACTCTGTAATATTCTTAAAGATAATTTTACCCTTCAACTTTATTATCTTATTAAAAATATTTTATATTGTTATAATTAAAATAAAATATATAATATAAGAATAAAAAATTAAAATAAAATAAAATATAAAAATTAACATTTATATAATATAGGTAAAACAAATTAAAATATAATATATAATATAAAAAATATATTAAAGAAATGAAAATAAAATAATAAGATTATAATAATAAATGAAAATAAAATATATGACATTAAAAATATATTTAAGATATGATATTATATAAAAATTAATAATAATAATATAAATATATTAAAAATAAAATATAAAATATTATAATAATAAATAAAAATAAAATATATGACATTAAAAATATATTTAAGAAATGATATTATATAAAACTTAATAATAAAAAATATAAATATATTAAACTTGTATTTTAATAATTAAGGATAATTTTAAAAATTAATATTACATTCCCAATAAAATACTTGTAAACCAAATACTGCAATGTTATCTTTCCTGCATTTTAATCATTATTTTACTTA